ACAATCACTGATATCAACGTTAAAGCTCTAGCTTAAAGTTTTAAAAACTGTTGTTACATTAAATGCATATTTCTATAAAAACTGTACAGAAATTTTTAAATTGTTGTATAAAAGCTATTTGTTTTTAAATAAATATGGTAGACTTAAAAAGTAAAGCAGAAGTGTAATGAAGCGCAAATTCATGCTTGATGAAACTTTTTCAGTTTTTCAGTAAAAAACATTTTAAAGATATTTGAAAAGAAGTGCAAAACAAAAGGCAGAGCGAGTAAAATCAGTGTGTGAATCTGATCCAGCCTACTTAATGTCTGTGTGGTTTTGGTGTTAACACGATGCCCGTACATGTGATAGTCGTGTAATAGCATGTCATTAAACTGTTATGGTTACACAGCTCGGTGGAACGGAGAAGTGGGTTAAAACGAACAAGGCGAGGCCCTTCAAGCCCCAGCCAAAGCAACCATCCACAGAGCAGAGGAGAATGTGCACGAGTGTATGTGTGTGTGTGTGTGTGTGTGTGTGTGTGTGTGTGTGTATGTGTGTGTGTGTGTGTGTGTGTGTGTGTGTGTGTGTGTGTGTGTGTGTGTGTGTGTGTGTGTCTCGTCTCATTGCGGCACCTAGTCTGATTTGTGTATTCAACATTACAGTTTAAATAAGCACCTCACCCTTGTGCCACTTTTCAAGCATTTGATCAAAATCCAATATATCTAAGAAACGCAGAGTTATGGCCCACTACCTAAAGAAAATACACCGATAACTGTATCTCAGCTTTTGGAGCACGAGAGGGGAGGATAGACATGGCAACTGCAACCAGGGGGATTTCTGATTTACCTCCACACGTTTGTTTCTGTGTTCGTTTCTCACTCCAGCTACATGTTTACCCTCATGACTCAAAGTGATTTTTATTATTTTACCTCAAATGACCACTGAAAACACGAAGACATTAACAAATTGTTGCCTGAGCCGAGTATGTATAACAAAAGTCTGGCGTTGTGATTTGAAGAGTGTTTATAGAGCGCAACCTTACAGGCCTTGTTCTCATCTCGGGCCAAATGTGGTTCCACCTCCGTCGTCTGCGCCAGAATCTGTCTCTCCTCAGCTCTGCTTCTCCTCTTACCACAGCTGAGTTTAAAACCCTTAGAAAAAACATCCAAATTAAAAGTCTGTGTCCTGACCAATGTTATTACAATCTGTAACATGCCAGTAAACATTGATGAAAGCGAGCAGTAATGCGACCTGCTCGAGGATTTATGCAGCTCCGTCTGTGAAGGTTACCTCCACACTTGTGGGTGGGTCTGACGGTGCAGAGAGACTGGACTTCTGATCTCCTTTGTTCTCACAGCAAATCTTTTCATTTCCTTTCTGGAAAATCTGTTTCTTATGATATCTCTTACACATGCACGCACACACACACACACGCACACACACACACACACACACACACACACACACACACACACACACACACACACACACACACACACACACAAAGCTGGTGTAGGAGAGTGAGGAAGAGAGGTGACGGGAGTCAAACTCACTAAAAACTCCTTGATTCCTGACATTTTTTCCCTTCAGTATGGAAACCCATCTGTGTTTGCTGGTCAAAGATTTAATTGACCGTTTAAAGTTCCAAGTTGATGGTCTGATGTTAAACGATGCGGGCAAACACAGGATTAAACATTCAGGAGCTGCAGGGCATGGATGAGCTTTACACTCTGCAACCACCAAGGAGTGCTAAATATATGCATCTCAATCTTGAGCAAAAACACGACAGGAAAAAATTTGCTCCTTAAGCTGTAATATTATTGCTTCTTCATAGCTTTGGGATTTTTTTCAGGTTTGGGTCTTTAAATGCGTAATTAGGTGACTCTATATCCTCTTTTCTCCTTTTAGCTCCTATTCTAACCAAGTGTTTGCATGAATTACTCTTCCCTGGAGATCGGTGAAAACCTCACACAACAGACGAGACTCGTGTTGATCTTTCAGGCTGCAAACCATCGACATAAATATACTGCTGCAAACACTTAAACAAAATAAAAAACAATACAATTCTTGTGCATGAGATCAGCTCAGTCAGATTCTGTATGCCCACTTATGCACACACGTGCAGAGTCCTAATGAGAGATTCTTCACCTCACTCAAAGATTTCCTTGTACCAAAACCAGAGTTGATAAAGAAGAAGAAGCCTTCTAGTGCTACGTTCTTTTTGAGTCAGAACCTACGAGCTGCAGTTGACTGAAAAAGCTCACTTTGAATCCTGATCCAAAGTAGATTTTACCAATCCGTCATTTCTGTAAAAACATTTAAAATGAAATATATTAAAAATCTTAACATGATTACAAAATATGACATAGCTGCTTGTTAATTTTACAAATAGCGCTTTGGAACTGATGTATTGACGTAATGCGTTTTGGCAGTGCTGCACCAATTTTAATGTCCACAAAAGACAACAACAAACTGAGAGACGGCTTAAAGGCAGCTAATAAGAAAAAGGACGGTAATAGATCCAAAGACATGATAACCAGAAAAAATACTTGGTTTGAGATCCTTGGAAAAAAGTATGTACAAGTAAGTCTCAGCAGTGGGGAAGAGATCCCGGAGACCTACCGCCGTTCATCCTCCTGTGGGACAAACTGCTTTTCTCTTCTCTGTTAATGTAGAAAATGCACAAAATCACCTGCAAAGGTAGCCTAACTTGACCCAGTCTGAGGAGGAAATCAACCAGCGATGAAGGTTCATGATTCAGACCTGCTGCTCTTCTTGTCCCAGAGTTCAGGACAAGCGGGACAAGTGATCCTGAATCTTGGTTGATAAATCGGATAACTGATTTTAAAAAAATAAAAAGTCAAATTTAATGTTGTGCACAAATGAAAAACTGATGCATGATCCACTCCTCCACATCGAGAGGAGCCAGTTGAGGTGGCTCGGGTATCTGATTGGGATGTCACCTCCAACCTGGAGAGGTTTTCTGGGCACGTCCAACCAATAGGAGACCTAAAGGAAGACCCAGGACACGTTGGAGGGACTATATTTCTCATCTGGCCAGGGAACGCCTTGGGGTTCCCCCAGTAGCTGGCCCAACTAGCCGAGGAGAGGGAAGTCTGGGCCTCTCGACTTAGGCTACTGCCCCCGCGGCCCGACTCCGGATAAGAGAATGGATGGATGGATGGATGGATGGATATAAATCAAGTAGGTATGAAACTAATATTATTGTTATACGGGTCAGTTACACAAACGATTTATTCAGATGTGGAGCCTTTGAGGATCGGTATAGGTGCACATAAGCATTGCTTCAGAAGAACTTTATTGAAAAGACAGCAAGCAGCATTTTGAATGAATGAATGAATGAATGAATGTATTTACATAACGACTAAGGAAATATACAGATGAATTCCACATTAATACAGACAGATATGGCTTCACATATAAGAACTGTTGCAGTCTGATGTTGTTTTTATGCAGTTTCACATTCTTTACAAAACAAAGATAATATGGTGTTTTATTAACAAATTACAATTATAAAGAAAGCATTTAGGTGTTAACAAATAAGAATGTATGAACAAAACTTCTGATGTGTTTTCATAACTTAAGTTTGAAAGCCGAGCAGATTTGCCGGAATGTGACGTCATCAGCAGGCGCAGGACCCCGAACAGATCTGGTACCAGCACCGGCCATACTAGTGAAGCGCCTCATGATTTTTATCTTGAGAGGCGCTATAAAAAAGATCATATTCTTCTAATATTACAGCCTACTACATAGCAAATATTGTATTTTTTATCTATGTACAATAAGTATTTAATAATATAATATACATAAAAACATTGCTGATGTTATTAATAAGGATGCTATCCGTTTGTTCCTCGGTCCTCAAGCTGTCTTTGTTTGGACAAGAAAAATGGCGCTGACCAGGCCGTGTCCCCATCGCTCAACGCCACTCTCCAAAGCCCTATTTCATCCTAAATATTTTGCCGGTTGATTAGTTTATCCTTGCTAAAACTGATTGCTATTGTAACTATAAAAATGTTAAAGTTTGAAAGGGTCAGGTCTACTTTTTCTGTTGTTGCTGGATTAATCACCAAAGAACTAAATTAGTCAAGGGTGAGCTAATAAATCAGCAATAAGCCACAAAAACAGGCTTCACAGGCAACCTGAGCAGGTACAACCTCAGCAGGTGGACTGCATGTCTGGTTGGCTCGTTTGGTACTTTCGGGGGGAATAGCTCACGAGCTCAATGTCTCCACTAAAAGAGAAGGAAAGGATTAACAAAAAGATGAATGGCATGTGTTGTAATGACAGGAGACTGCCTTAAGTCCATGTACAGACCAGCATTCAGCTTGACCCTCACTGATCTCTGCTGTCTGTTGCAGTCAGAGCTGAAGAAAGCTGATTCACTTTCAAAAAACACATCACTCGTCAAAAGGAGCTGTCAGACACTAAGGCAGGAAGGCACTTCAATTAGATGATACAAAAGTAAGGGGCCTATCCTGGATGTGACGTTTCTGTTGATCTGGCATTTTTCTCTAAAAAGAGCTCAGAGACTAAAGATTTGTCAAGGAAAAAAAACTGAAAGGGAAGAAAGAGGAAGAGTAGGGGTTTGAAGAACATACTCAGGATAAAGATGGCCCACTCCATGTAATACTCAGAATATTAAGAGACTAATTTTTAATAAAGGTACACATCATTTAGCAGATTTCTGACATCTGTCTAGCAGCTTGCTAAAGATCTTTATTCTATAAATAAACCAACGAGTCATTCATTTCTGCAGGTAATCTCTAAATCTGAAAATCCATGCAGTTTAGCTAATTGTCTCACTTAGAAATCATGGAGGGGTCTTAAATTCACTCTGTAGGTGCATTCCCACTGTGAGAGACAGCATTTAAGAAAATTCAGGAAATCTAATTGTGTGATTTTTTTAAACATGTTTTTGTATTGCACTGCTGCACATAAGTATTTAAAAACCTGAGAAAATCAGTATTAATATTTGTTACTGAAACCTTTGTTTACAGAGGTCTGGTGAGGTTTTCTGGGCACGTCCAACCAGGAGGGGACCTAAAGGGAGACCCAGGACACGTTGGAGGGACTATGTTTCTCACCTGGTCAGGGAACATCTTGGGATTGCCCCGGAAGAGCTGGCCGAATGAAGTCTGGGCCTCTCGACTTAGGCTGCTGCCCCGTGACCCGACTCCAGATAAGCGAATAGATGGATGGATTTGGATCTGGAGACCACTCCACAATCTTGATATGCTCTTATGGATTTTTGACCCTAATGGCCATCCGTTGGTAAGGTCTTACTCAAACACATTGCCCCTCATCTCGAGGGAACATACACACCGTCACTTTAAAAGGATGCTTAGGTGGCGGGTTGGTGTCCTGGCATGTGAGAAGAAACAAAACAAGAAAAATATTAGAATTCACCCTGTTTTTTTTCTTGTTTTTTTTTTTTTCCTTTGCCTCTTTTCTGTCTTCAAACACCCTAACATTTCCTTCCTTTTCTGTTACACATTTTTAATTTCCTTTCTAGCATCACAACTTTTTCCTCCCTTATCGTTCCTTTTTGCTCCTTCACATTCTTTCTGGTGTTTCCTCTAATTCATCCCCTTCCCTCAGTTTTTTTCTCCTCCATCCACTCCTCTCCCACGAGCTCTGTGTTGAGAGCACGACAGTAGAATCTGTTTTGCTGCCTCTCATCAGATTAGTGTTGATTTTTCTGCCGCCAAACCGCAGCTCAGCAGAGCGGATGAACTTTAACTGTTTATCAGAGGCGCATTTACACTGCTCCGCTCGGCGGCTGCACGGTTTGTTACATGCCATTTACAATGAAATGAAAATCGATGGATGCAAAAATGGGATTTTATACCCTGTTGTTAGTGAGACCAATTATTATTTCCTGCTTAACGGGGTGTGGAGTGTCAGTCCCACCAGTGCCATTTTTTAACAGTACGAATGGGTTTTGGTAGTGTAACTGCATACAGGTTTTTTTCCCTAATTTGTTGTTATATTTGTACTCGATGTTTAAATAAGTTGGGCAAGTGTTCCTTTCACTCCTCTCATGTCATTAAAATGGATCAATGGGAAGCAACTAATTCCACATCAGATCATCTGAAGCTGTTTGAATTCAACATCCTAGGAGTGACTCCAGAAATATTCTCCATTTTACTAAACTCCAAAGGATACTGGGAATTGAAACCAGTTGTTAATTTTAGCTCCCTCCGCTCAAGTTAAGTTGTGCACCAGACAATGATGACACAGTGCTATGTCAGAGAAGTAATGACTAAGATTTACACTCTATTATTAGAGCTGGGCCCCTGTGAGATACCGCTGGAGACCTCTTTCCTTTCTCATCCTGATACAGCAAGCGAGGACAGAAACAGAGCACGGTTTACAGCTATTGTACTGAATCACTGGCCACAAGAGGACACGCAGCTACCATGTTAATTATAGTGTTCTATCTGCTTTTGACAGGAACCGAGTAGATGGCAGATTAGAAGATGTCATTTAATTAATACCAATACTCATGAAAACAAATTTTCTCTGTAGAAACTGCTGAAAAACTCAAGACTGCCTTTTAATCCACACCAAGTGTGCCACAACAAGTGACTATTGTATGAGGTCAGTAAGCAGACAAATGGAAGCAAGTGTTTTAACCCTCAATAGGCCTTTTCACAGCTCTTCTCCAAAGATGAGCTGATCTTTAAAGGTGTGTTTGACTGGAAAACATTTTTGATTGATTATTTCTGATTTTAATTGGTCACTCTGAGTTTCTCATGCAGGATAAACATGAAAACCATCTTCTACACCCATCTCCTAAGTTAGCTTCTGGTAGAAAATAGACAGTGAAATGCTCGGATTTGAAAATCTTCACAAATCTATGTCACAGTGTGAGTTTGCATTCATGCCCACTGTAGAAGGGGAAAATATGTTGTTCTATTTCGTCTAGTCTTAGCCCTTAAGCGAGCTGCTATTGGAAGGGTGATCTCAGCATCAGCCAATCATGAAGAGCTTAAATGTACACCCACCACGTGGGCACCCCTTGTGGGTTATATAAGTGGAGCGACTCCACTGTTCGCCTCTGTTTTCTCTTCACGCCAAGCTTAAGAGCTTCTTTTAAGAGCAATTATACAAGAAAAATCTACTCACCGACCATGTCCAGCGACGCCAGGACCTGCCCGGCCTGCCAGACGGGCTCCATCTCCAGCGGCGACCTGCACGCCAAGTGTGAGGTCTGTCTCGGGGCTCACCACGCTGGCCTGGCCTTGACCCCCAGGCCTCGTGCCCGTTTTGTACCGCTCTGCCCGTGGCTGAAAAGGTCCGCCGGGTCGAGTACTTCACCCCCTCCACCGACGAGGAAATTCCGGTGGCTGGCACGTACTCGCTGGACAAGGCGTTACGGTTCTTCAACGTCGGCCAGGAGCCGGCTGGCTCCTACCGATTGGACGATGTCATCGACAGCGAGGAGTACGACGAAGCTGGCTTCCATAGCCCTTCCCTCCTGTACAACAGGGAGGTCGACTACGAGGCTGGCTGCCATAGCCCTTTTTCCCTCCAGTACAACACGGAGGTCGACGAGCCTCGTGAGGAGCACGACGAGGCTGGCTGCCATAGCCCTTTCTCCCTCCTGTACAACACGGAGGTCGACGAGCCTCGTGAGGAGCACGACGAGGCTGGCTGCCGCAGCCATTATTCCCTCCTGTACAACACGGAGGTTGACGAGCCTCGCTCAGCGGGTCCTTCTGCCCCAGTGGTTTCTCGCTCCTCCCTGCCAGCAGTTAGAGCACTGCTCCAGGAGCTGCCCGCCATCATCTCCGCGGCTGCGACCCGCAGGTGGCTAGCCGTTCCAGAACCGGCTCCCCTGAGGCGGATGAATTGGCGGGAATTTTTGGGGCAACACAGACGCGCTGTCCAGACCCCGTCTGGCCGCACTTCCCCGCTGCCATGAGCTGCTGGTCCGCCGCCTTCTCCGAGCCTGCCAGGCTCGAGGAGCCAATTTCCAGTGTGGCGTCAAGAACCACCTCACTGGACTGCGAGCAGTTCCCACTAAGCATGACCAGCTGCTGAGGCGGCTCGCCGATCGCGCACACCAGTGCGCCTTCCAGACCGGCGCTGCAGGAAATAACATCGCCTTCTCGCCTTTGGCGTTTCCAAAATGGTGGAGGAGCTTGACTCTCCTGTCGAGTCAAAAACCATCATTACTAAAACTGCTGATGCCATCCTCAATCTGGGCGCTGCTGTACTCACCGGTTCTGCTCGCATTGCTGCCTGGCAGACCCTTATCCAGCGGCCTTGTGGCTCATGGCTCTGCCCTCCATTCCTGAACACCTGCACAGAGAGATGCTGGAAGGCCACATCACCTCTGACGTTCTGTTTGGTCCCCATCTTACGAGCATCATCTAGAGGGCTCAGCAGCTGAACTTTCAGCCACGGTGCGAGACCTGGTCCACTCTCGGTCAGCCTGCACTCCGGCCGTTCCCCCAGAGGATGGGACGAACGGCGCGGAAACTCCATGCGCCCAGCTGCACGGCCCGCCCCGCGGAGCCGGCCTCCCGCTGAGGCGGGACCAGGGAGTTGGCGGCCAACGGTACCGAACGAGCCAGCAGACACAGCCTTGGCAGTCACAGGAACCTCGCCGAAAACAACCACGAAAACGACTCGTTGGGGGGAATATGTGTGCTTATGGCTGCAATGTTAACTCTGTGAATTATTTTGGTTTTGAAATAAAAACCCAAAAAACGTCACATCGAGAGCACAATCCTACAGTCCTCTGCAGAACCTTCTGCCGAATCCTCACACATGATGTTCCCTTCACCAAGCACTGCAGCACATCTGCATGTTCACACAGTCGGACTCGGTCATGTTACACGGGTAGCTGTAAGGGTGCGCTCCATTTGCGCACCGCCCCCAGCCTACGGCCAGGCCCGACTCATCCCGCTTCCCCCACAACTTTGGGTGGGACGGGATGTCATGGCGCTGTCGCGACCACGCGCAAAGCGCGCACATTGCGCGGCTCCATCCGCTGGCACTTTGACGTTCCCGTGCACGGGCCCGGCTCCCACTCGTCCTTCATGGACTCCACGCTCTGCGGTGCGGATCAGCCTCTTCCAGCTGTTTCACACTTGCTCTTTCGAGCACAGCCCTCCATGGGTCGCTCCCAGTTCTCTGGTACGAGCGACGGCGGTAAGGGCGCGAAACCAATCCTCAGACGTTGCTCACGTGACCTCGAGCACACGTCCGCTGTCGGAACGCGCGCACGAATGCCTCCCTTTCGGCTACTCGCTAGCCCAGCGCACTTTCTCCAAATGTCCGGAGACCGCGCTGCAGCCACTGCGCACGGCGGAAACGAGGGTTTTATTTTACCGGGACGATCTGCTCCGATGCGCCCGGTCCGAGGACGGGGCGTCAGTGCAAACCAGGAGGTTAACAGAGCATCTTTCAACCCTGGGGTTTTCTATAAACTGGGGGAAGAACTCTGTTCTTCCATCCCAGTCGATTATGTTTCTCGGGGGGGAGCTGAACGCCTCTCTAATGAGAGCACGATCGTCGCCGGTGAGAGCGGCAGATCTCACCATGGTGATCTCCCGCGTGCAACCCCGCGAGATCGTGAGAGCCCTGTTAGTCATGAGACTTCTGGGCATGATGGCTGCAGCCCACTCGGTGGTGCTGCTGGGGTTGTTGCACTCGAGGCGCCTGCAAAGTTGGTTCATCTGCCTCCGGGTACACCCGATACGTCAGAAGAGACGTATGTTGAGGGTTCCCCCCTCAGTGGGCGGGGACCTCGCTCACTGGGGGAATCCCTGCATCCCCTCACACGGGATTCTCATCGGACGTCCTGCGTCACACGTATCTGTGTTTACGGATGCGTCACTGTCTGGGGTGGAGGGCACGTGCTTGTTGCGCGGCAGATCGCTGGCCCTCCCACACGCACGAGCACATAAATGTGTTGGAGCTTATGACAATGAGGAATGTGTTCATGCACTTCGCTGCCCTTCTCGATGGCCGTCATGTCGAAGTTCACACAGACAACCAGGTGGCGGCAGCCTGCATAAATCGCCAAGGGGGAGTTCGATCCCCCCCTCTATTGCGCATAGCCACAGATTTACTGTGTTGGGCACATGTCCACCTGCTGTGCCACCTACATTCCGGGGATCCTGAATGTAGCGGCAGACATCCTGTCGAGAGGGGGTCCCCGCGACTCCGACTGGCGTCTGCATCCCGCGCTGATATCACAGATCTGGATAAGGTTCGGGGAACCGTGTGGATCTGTTCACGGCTCGCGAAAACACTCAGTGTCGCCTGTGGTTTTCCCTGAGTCTCCGGGACCAAACCTCGCTCGGAGCGGACGCTTTCTCACACCAGCTCGGGCTTCGAACGCTCCTTTATGCGTTTCCACCAGTCCCTCTGATTCCCCTTCTCCTGGACCGAGTTCGGTCAGAAGAGCTCTCGGTAATTCTGGTGGCTCCCAGATGCCTGTCCGCGTCATGGCTTCCGGACCAGCAAGCGCTACTGTCCGGCTCCCCGTGGAGACTCCCGCGAAGGGAGGACGCCCCTCCCCGGGCGGATGGGATAATCAGACATCCTCCGGAAATAAGCCATCGGCTGTGGGTCTGGCCGATGAGCGGTTTCGATTAGGGGTTTCTGGGCTGCCGCATGATGTGGTCACCACGATTCAGAGTGCGCGGGCGCCCTCTACCGTTGCATCTTACGCTGCTAAATGGGCAGCTTTCCAGAACTGGGGCACAGAGCGGAATGTTCAAGCGCTCTCCTGCCAGCTGGCGGATGTCCTATTGTTTCTGCAGATACGGACGGACAGGGGCCTCGTATTCAGCACTATTAAAACATATGCTGCAGCTATCTCATCCTGTCACCAGGGTTTTGGTGATAGATCTGTTTTCAATCATCCCCTCACAAAACGTTTTCTAAAAGGTGTCAGAAGGAACAGACCTGTGTCCCGTCCGCTAATTCCCCAGTGGGATCTAACGGTGGTTCTGGCTTATCTGAAGCCCCATTTGAGCCCTTGGACCAGGTCTCACTCAAGTTCCTGTCACTTACAACTGCCTTGCTGCTGGCACTGGCATCAGTCACGAGAGTGAGCGACCAAACCGCCCTCTCAGTGGCTCCCGCATGCCTCAGGGTCCGGAAAGATGGCGGGTCTGCTGTTTTATGCCCCAACCCAGCCTTTGTGCCCAAAAAACATTAATACTTCCTTCAAATCCAGGTCAATTTCATTGGCTGGACTTTTTCCTCCTCCCCATAATTCTGAGGAGGAGGCGGCTTCCCGTCTTCTCTGCCCAGTGCGAGCGCTCGCACGATATGTGTCACGCACTTCAGGGATTCGCCGCTCACAAATCATGTTTGTGCACTACAGGGAGTCTTCCCTTGGGCAAGCGCTGTTGGCCCAGCGCCTTTGACTCTGGCTATGTGACGCCATTTCACTCGCTTACACATCATTGGGGCTGGATCCTCCTGAGACACTCAGGGCTCACTCAGCCAGAGGGACTTCCTCTTCTGTGGCGCCCCACAGTGGTGTGTCAATGGAAGTCATTTGTCAGGCTGCTTCATGGGCTTCACCCTGTTCCTTTACTCGTTCTTATTTACGAGATGTGTCTTCAGGATCCATCACTCGTTCAGTGCTTGGACCTCAGCAGGCTGAGTAAACGCATTATGGCACCTCATCAGCCCTGCTTGAATGAATTTCATCCTCTTGTGGATGATATTTTTTAGTGGTGGCCCCACTCTTCTCTCTGGCTGCCTCAGCCTTTTAAGCCCTGGGCTGAGGCTGAGCGACCCCCACTAAAAGGAGACATGTTGGGTGTGTCCATTGGTTGAGCTAACCAGTGTGGCGTAAACCCATCCAGCTGCGCTTTATTCCAATAGCAGCTCGCTTAAGGGCTAATACTAGACGAAATAGAACGTTGGTTACGTATTGTAACCCCAGATTCTATGAGTCTAGTCGCAGCCCTTAAGCCACTTGGCCACACTGGTTCTGTTAGGACTAAGAGCCATCGGAGGCGAACAGTGGAGTCGCTCCACTTATATAACCCACAAGGGGTGCCCACGTGGTGGGCGTACATTTAAGCTCTTCATGATTGGCTGATGCTGAGATCACCCTTCCAATAGCAGCTCGCTTAAGGGCTGCGACTAGACTCATAGAATCTGGGGTTACAATACGTAACCAACGCTTTTAAGCTTAATATATTACCTTTACTTATGACCAATAAGATGTGATATTCTATATAAATATAGGATATCAACCTTATTGGTCTTTGAATGTTTAATCAGAAGATTCTAGGATTCTTTGCTTTTTCAGTGATCATAACACACTTTGTATTAATTTAGACAAAGTCAAGTTTATAAAAAGTAAGAAATTTATTTTCTAAACAAATTAAAAACAAGACAAGTTATAAATAAGACGAATGTGACAGATGGATATAAGTGGATGGGATGTGATGTTTGATGATGGAATGGTGTGTGATGTTTATCAGAACCTTGTATCTAGAAGAAACTATGTTCTGGGTGTGAAAAGAATTTGGTCTGCATTAAACTAGGAAGTTGGTCCTTAACAAAATGGCGTCTGACGCAATCTATGTGTTCTACGTACCCCTGAGGAGACTCCCTTTTGGATCCGAGATGTCGGGGGGTCGGGTGAGACCAAGGTACCGAAGTTCATAGAAAAGACCGCAGTGCGACCAGGTCGGTCCAGAGTCGTCTCCCGGATCACAACAGGTAGTTGTTTGCGTCTTTGGAAGGATGGACTCTGAAGCAGTCTTGGCTGTGTCAGTTTTGTTCTGAAGGAGCAAGTTTCTGTGTCAGCTGTAGCGTGTTGCAGGTTTTGACAGCTTGTCAAGAGATGCGGTGGTTAGAGAGTTTCCTCCGGTGGCCAGTCCGGAGTTCTGCTCAAAAACTAACTGGATCACTCCGCAAGTGATTCTGTTTAAATATTCCCATATTATGATTACATGGCCAATCAGGACAGAAGAGGTTAAGAGGTGTTTAACAAACAAACCTCAGAACACACGTCTTTTCCAAATACAAAAGGTGCTCTGATTTGTGGATAAAAAAATATCTATGTGCAGTGATGTTACTTTAACTTATATCCTATGAACATTGTGTACAAGTGTATGGCTGATTTGCTTGTCAAGTCACGTACGCTGATTATCAGGCAAATGGATTATTGCAGGACAATATTCATTTCAACCTTATTAACTTAGGCACAGGTTAATCAAAACATTTCTTTTAACCATATTGTTCATTTCATTTCATGATTAATTAACTCATATGAGCTGAAAATATTCACTTTTATTCAGAGGCAGGAGGTATCCTGTAGAAGCGATAAGGGGAAGCTTAAGGCCTTGAAACGGGAACAGTTTTGTTGGCAGTATGTTATCATGTGTTCAGAGCTGCAGAATCTTCTGGCTTGTTGGGAGATAGAATTTAAAATCCACTTTAGAGAATGGAGTTATGTCTGCAGATGACCGGTGGCATGTAGCTCAATATGTAGGTGAAAAATGACCCTTTCTGGACATTGCACCACACCCATATTAGTTAGCGCCCAACCATAGGAAGGCCTTTTTAATTATTTTTTCAGCGAGGAGAGAGAGCGGAGAGTGTTTTGAGACTCTGCAACATGGCCGAACGCATTCTGTTAGCCAATCAGAAGCAAGGTGTGTGCATATCATCAATAATAATGAGTAATCCTGCTGTTAATAGCCCACCTCTGCACCAGCAAACTTCTGCATCTCAGAACAGGAGCATCATAGCTTTTTTAATGACTCATAAGGCATTCTTTTACACTAGAGATCACTGCAAATGTGTTGGATAAACAAATAAACCACACCTTTAAGCTGCTTCTGGTCACTCGTAAATGCACCAAGCAAGTCTGCTACAATGATGGGAGCTTAAAGGTGCACTAAAAATAATATCTTGTGGTCTAATTTGGGTACTGCACGTCATGCATCAAAACTAAAGATTCTGTTCTCAAACCAACAACACACTCAACCCCTCATGAGTTTTATGGCTGTTACCAGTTACGGATCAGAGCCAGAAGACTCAGTCGACACAGGAAGTTGATAAGTAGATAAATACATTTCATTGTAAGTAGCATTTTTTTCCAACTCATAGTTAGCATTGTTAGCTCAGTGTTAGCCTCTAGCCTTCTTTACTCGATGTTGGAGTTTAAAAAAAAACATGTTGCAGCTTCTTAGGGGTTCAACCATTAACTTCTGGTCGCTTTTCGTACTGGTTTCCATTCTGTCCGCAACACCGTGCGGGCCGGTGTCAAATTACGATATCAGGCACAGTGATTGTGATGAAGACTTGGCAACATAGAGAGGTCACATATGATTGGCTCTGAAACCAGGTAGTATGGAGGCGGGACAGACTGTAAATAATGACTATGTTTCTTCGCAGCCTTTATAAAAGAAGAAGAAATTGCCAGGTGAGAAGGAAATCTGTCTTAATGTAACCATTCTTCCAGCATGATTGAGACATTGGACTATTTTATTATTATTTTACTGTAAAATTCTTACTTATTGTACCTTTAAATGAAATCAGCACAGTTGAACCACAGAAGGTTCAGCACGTAAACATTGATGATGGAGCAAACTGTATTAAATGTCTGAAACCTTCTGAATCCCACAGTTAGCTGATCACACAGAGATCATCACACCTTACAGGACAAATGTTGGTTTACTTTCTGCATGGCCTCCCTTAGCTCAGAGGTGTAACAGCATGGGTTTTTGGTTAGGGGCTGCTTTCACTGCTGTTGATCACCATTTGTCTAATGGTATGAGCTCAAATTTTCTACGTTGCAAAATGGTGTTTAGTAAGGTTTGATTTCAGGGCTTTCCTTTTTTTTCCTTGAAAGTTTTAACTATGTTCCGTGCCAACGGCGTTCAGATGTAAATGTTACAGCAAAGACGTTTCTGCACTAGATTGGATTCCAGTATATGTTATGAACCTGCTCATCCCCTCAGATCCTTGAATAAAAAGCTGGTCAGGATTAAAGTTTAAATCTAGAGGTGATTGGGTTTTTCAAGTCATGGGTCCCACTTTATGGAATACGCTGCCCCAGCCTCCAGGTCTGTTGTCTTCCATGACGGACTTTATGAAACAATCAAAAACACACATATACTAACAGGCTTTGAAGTAATTTTGTACCCTTTTTGTGGTTAAATGGATTTGCATTGATGTTTTGCATGTTCTTGTTTTATTTTTACGTTTTACAGTTTAAACTAGGAAAAAATAGATGATTGTGGTAAAGGTGATTTATTTCACTAATTCAACTTAAAAGGTGAAACTAATATATTAGATAAACTCATATTAAGCCTTTATTTGTTATAGTTTTAATAATTATGGTTTATAGTTCATGGAAACCCTGAACACAAAATATCAGACAATTAGAAAATTGTTAAAAGGTTTTAATATTCTAGACTCAAAATTTACTTTGTGATTTTTATCTTGAGATACGCTATATAAAAATCATTTCTTCTTCTTTTTCTGATCTGATTTTTGTGATAAGATCACAAACGGGTTCCTGAGTCATTTTAGCTGCATTAATGAATTAAATGGACTTTTGAAGCATATTCTAGGCGCAAAACTAATAAAGTTGAGTTGAGTTTTTGAGCAATCAGTTGTTGTGGTCAATAAAATGTTATTTAAAGTTAAAAACTTCAACATAGAAGCAGTTAGACTATTTAAACCAACAAAAACAACTACTTGTCGTGAGCCGGGGGTGAGTGCTCGTCTCTCTACATGAGATCTCTAAGGCCCTGTCCACACGTAGCCGGGGATCTGCCAAAACGCAGATATTTTTCTATGTTTTGGCCTGTCATCCACACGAAAACGGAGTTTTTTCACACGAAAACGGATCTTTTTAAAAACTCCGGCCAAAGTGAAGATCTGCGTTTTCTCCGTTTTGGGTGTCTGCGTGTGGACGGACAAAGCCGGAGTTTTAAGGTCTGCAACGTCACTTTCCGCGACAAAAAAATGCTGACATCACGTGTGCGACCTGTGTTTACACTAGCCGACAGCATGGAAGCCCTCGGAGCTGCGCTCTGTCACTACCCGATACATCAATTGTCCAAGCGCTTTCTGCTTGTTTGTTTTTGCAAGCAGAATTACTGCTCCTTGCGGAAGACCACAGACAAAGGATGAGGTTAAGAATGGGGGAAGTACTGCCGCCTACAGGTCTGGCATGTCCTTAACAACGTATTTATTCGGGTACGTGTGGACAGAGTTTGTTTTTAAAACGCGGTGATGTGGATGCAAGTTTTTGGAGGGGCGGATATTCGTTTTTAAAAAACCCGGCTACGTGTGGACTAGGAGGCCTAAGTTGTGTCTTGCAGGAGAGGGAGCGGCAGCTGCACCTGATTAGTTAATCAGCGGGTTGGCTTCTTAAGGAGGAAGGTGACACTACTCTACTACTACTACTACTAAACTTTATTTTTATAGTGCCTTCACATGGCCCAAGGACCAAACAAAGCGCAGCACAGCAGAAATAAACATAAAAAAAATAAAAACATATAAAACCATTTAAAAACCAACAAAAACTTGCATATAAAATCTAGGTGGGGCAGCAAAAATTGCAAAGCCATCCGTTAACGAGGCTCTTCTTGAAAAAAAGCTAAAGAATAAAAGTGTGTTTTCAGCTGGCTCTTGAACTTGCCGAGTGTGGTGGCCTGTTTAACACATGTAGGTAGCTCATTCCAGAGCCTCGGCCCCAGCACCGAGAAATCACGACCCCCTCAAGATTGTAGTCTGTGTTTAGGAACGACCAACAGTCCTTGTTGTGCTGACCGAAGGTTCCTTGCGGGAACATAAGGATTGATCAGATCCGCCAGATAACGTGGAGCCAACTCATTTAAACATTTAAAAACAAACACCCGAACTTTAAACAAAATTCTAAAAGAGACTGGAAGCCAGTGTAGGGATGTCAAGACAGGCGCGATGTGTTCAGATCTCCTGGTACTCGACGCTGGATGATTGCTACTGACTGGTAGTTTCCAGCCCTCGTACTTGGCTCTTGGTTTTTGTGAACATTATTACGTGTACCTTTTCCTGGGACTTTTGTGACTTTACGTCTCTTGGATCTCCGACCTCAGGTTCTCCTCCTCTCTGGATTATTCCCTCACCACGCCCAATAGGACTCTGGTCTGCTCACACGCCACATCATCCATTCACCTCTGACCGACCCGCTCTCCAACGACTACCCGCTCCAGCTCTGGAACCGCTCACCTGGATACCCCCGGCTCGTTACCCATCCCCTCACTCGCTGAACTCATTTTACCCCAATAAGTCCCCTCACTCATTATCTGTTGGACTTAAAGTTCTCAGGACTCACCTCTAATCTGCTCTCCCCTCCAGACGCTGCGTTTCCCGTTTCCCCTGTCCACTGGAATTCCCAGTGTGCCCTCAGTTACCATTATCCACAAATAAAAATATTATTTTTCATTATACCGTCTCCTGGGTTGATTCTGCATGTCTTGGGTTAGAAACCTTCCTCAGAACTTGTCACTACTTCCACAATATCTGCTTTATTGTAGGGGGTCCTCATATTTGGAATAGTTTGTAAACTTAGAATAAATAAACGATAATGGATTGTTTCTTTTGCCTCACACAGAGACTATGACCACATTTAATGTGATTTAAAAATTATGACTCATTTGATAATTTAATTGTTTGCATTAGAAGTGAATCTTAATTTTTGTTTTTGTTTTACAGGTTTAATTTTCTTAAAAGCCTTACCAGAGACCAGGTCTGAAAATAGAAGGCCTATGTAAGGAACAACAGCTTCAATGTTTAATACAAATCACTGTTTTTATTTACGGACCCTGATCAAATAAACTTCAGTAAAGTGAAATGAAACGTTCCTGTGCTCAGGATGAAAATAGTCACCAGAGAAGCATCAGTAAAATCAAATGTTCATCTTGTTTCTCTCTCCCTTTTTTACTTTGTGCTCACTAATATATCCTGCTTGGGTATTTGTTTTTACTAAGTGCATCACGTTTGTTGAACAGGCACTTATTGTATTTTGCTTTATTTTGAAACCAGGTTTTGAGCTTATAAAATGTAGTCCCTCCTCTCACCAAAAGGGCTAAGGCCATCTGACTTTGTCCTGACAGTTAGTGCTATACAAATAAAAAAAACTGGTCTAAACTGATCTACGCATAACACAAAATAAACAAAGAACTCACACACATATGGTATAGTCACACTAATCCGATGTTTATCTTCCGTTCTTTGGTCGACAAAAGTCATCACACAAAACATTCAAACCAGCAAATAGACACAAAGGTTAACAGACACACAGCTGAATTTTCCATCTGTTGTACATAAATGTGCGTGGCCGCTCACACACACAAACATCCACTCTGTGTCAAAGAGTTTAAATCTCCAGGGAGGAGGGGGTCGCTGCCAAAGGATGCACAGAACGATGGGCAGGGAGGAGGAGAGGAAAAGGGTCTACTGTCTCAGCAGGCAGTTCAGAGAGGCTTGGCAATGTCACCATGTCATCGCCATGGGAACACGGAGCGCAGAGACTCTTTTGGACTAATAGGCAGTTGTCAAGGCAATGATAAGATAAGTGCTGTGTTTGATGGAAACATAGTGTGATGAGCCTGATAGGCACCAAGAAGTACCCGAACAATCAGCAGAGAGCTGCCAAGAGGGGAAAGATTCTGGGAGTGGGGTGGGTGGGGGGTGGGGGTGGGTGGGGGGGGGGGGGGGGGGGGGGTCTGTTACACACCTCCACATGAGTAGAGATGAAGAATGGAAAACAGCATGGACTCTCTTCGGACAAGCAGAGTCAAGCCACCTTCTCTTTGTCCGCTGGGTTTCGTCCGTCCTGGCCCCACTTTGCTGTGTGACTTGCACACAAACGCTCGTCTGTAGAAACAATCCAAATGTGGCGATGCGTCCCTGATATGTTCAAAGATACATGCACACACATGAAGAGAGGAGGGGGTGTGTGTTTGCTTATCTAATGCTGGGGACTGAATTTGGTTAGCCCCAGTGGGATTGGGTTAGAAGATGTCAGGAAGATAGATGAGCGTCGCGATGTAACACCTCAGCTCTGAGCCTACCCTCACATTGTCTTGCATCTGTGTGTTTAACATGTGCATCACACCTACCTCCAAATGAGTCCAAAACATTTCAGAGGGTCTCACCATAAATACAGGATAACACATTTTAGAACATGCAAACATTTGCCCTAGCTAGCCACGGTAATATTCGATGTCTTTGCCTTTGAACACATCTCACGTCTCTCTCCTGAAAGAGTCTGCCAATCTACCCAAATCCACTAAGAATGTCCGAGCAGAAGTCGCCTCCAGCTATAAATTTAGAGGAAGTGAAATATATTTTTATAGTGTGCTCACATGTAAATATGTTTGTACATCCACTCAGAATTTGGTCTCTGATTGGAGTATCCCAGCAGCTTTGTGGCCATTCTATTGATTTGCAGATAGTTGTATGACACTGTATCACTACCCTGTCTTTGGTTCCACATTTAAACACACACACACACACACACACACACACACACACACACACACACACACACACACACACACACACACACACACACTCAGGTTTGGGTTATCTGATCCGAATCAAACAAGCCATTTTAATAAGATCACAAGCCAAGTTCAAATGCTGCAGGTCCTTTTAAAGCTTTATAGCTTTAACTGTGTGTGACACAGTATTTTTCTGCTGTCCGTCCATGTCACACAAAAGCGTGGACACACACACGCACTAACATACACACACCCTTCCTATATGAATGTGAATGGAACTGTATGATCTTTTCTCCAGAGAGGCTGATAGACTCTGATGCTCTGCAGTAATGGCTAGCCATACCTGTCCATAGCTGCCTTCTCATGGCCTTAGGCAACTGCTCAGTAATTCCACTCTGAATACAATGGACTCTCTCACACACACACACACACACACACACACACACACACACACACACACACACACACACACACACACACACACACACACACACACACACA